GTTCTGAGGCTACTGATAGATGAATTTACACAAACTTAAAAAAAAAAGTATTGTCTGAATTCACACGCCACTTTTCTACAAGGAGCGCAAGAATTTCAGGGGCCAGCCCCGTGGCCGAGTGGTTGGGTTTGCAGGCTCTGCTTCAGTGGCCCAAGGTTTCTTTTGCCAGTTTGGATCTGGGGCGCAGACATGGCACCGCTCATCAGGCCATGTGGAGGCAGCGTCCCACATGCCACAACTAGAAAGACCCATAACTAAAAATACACAACTATGTACCGGGGAGCTTTGGGGAGAAAAAGGAAAAATAAAATCTTAAAAAAAAAAAAAAGAATTTCAAAAGATTTATACTTACATACATTCTTTTTACAGAACAGGAAGGAAGGCAAGGATATCAACCTCACTTTGTTACACTAAGGAAAATGAACACAGCTAATAAAATACCCAAAATAAAATCCAGGACTTAACATGTTTTTTTCACTTCAAAATCTAATGGGCTAGAACTGCCTGCTGTATCCAATCCATTGTAAACATATGTGACAGGTTAGGATGCGTAAATTGGACAAGTCATATTAGAAATATTCAGGGCTGACCCAGTGGCATAGTGGTTAAGTTTGTGTGCTCCGCTTTGGCAGCCATGTTCACGGGTTCGGATCCCGGCCACAGACCTACACACCACTCATCAAGCTACGCTATGGTAGTGTCCCACATACAAAATAGAGGAAGACTGGCACAGATGTTAGCTCAGTGACAATCTTCTTCACCAAAAAGAAAAAAAAAAGAAAAAGAAAGAAAAAATATTCAAATGCATTTTTGGTTCCTTTTTCTCCAACAATGTCAGAATTCCTGCAAGATGCCTGAAGGTCTGGCTAAATTTTATTGCCTTCACAGATAATGACGAGCAACTGCACCCCACACCATCCAACGATGCTCAGGGGATCCCTCCACTATGAACCTCGATGGGGCTCGAGCGCAGTGCAGATCTTTCTGACTTGCTTCACATACTGAAGGAGTCAACTAAAATATAACTCCTAAGAACTTTCTCCTTCCCTTTCTGCCTCCAAGAATACAAAGATGCTTCCTGCTCTATGATGCCATGACAACAAAAATTTACTGAATGAAAGGATAAAGAGTGACAGCATTTGTGCAATGAGACAACAGGGTCACCTCGGGCCTTCCACAAAGGCCTCAACCTGGCCTACGCGTGGTCAGAACTCCTTCTTGCTGGGAGAGCTTGCTGTCCCTTCCTGTGGTGAATTGTTTACAAAAAGGGCCCCAACAGCTCCCCCATCCTGTGTGAAAGCCTCTTTGCCATGTGACTTTGTTGCTCCTTCCACCAGGAGGTGAAGTCGGTTTTTCCACCACTTCAGTCTAGGTTTGGCCACAGCACTTGCTTTGACCAATGGGACACTAGCAAATGTGATGCAGACAGAGGCACGAGGAGTGTCTGCCCCCGGGGCTGGCCCTCTCTTGCTCCTAGAACTCTTTCACGTCATGTGAACAGGCCCGGACTAGCCTCTGAGAGGGTGAGAAAGCGCATACAGGGAGGCTGCAGTCATCCCGGCCGCCCAGGTGAGGTCCCAGAGATGGGAGGAGGTCATCCCAGACTACCCAGCCCTGACACGTCAGGCCAAATTGCAGAACCACCAGCTGACCCTTAGAACTGTGAATAAATAAAATGGTGGTTGTATGGGGGCCGGCCTGATGGTGCAGCGGTTAAGTGCACACGTTCTGCTTCTCAGCGGCCCGGGGTTTGCCAGTTCGGATCCTGGGTGCAGACATGGCACTGCTTGGCAAAAGCCATGCTGTGGTAGGCGTCCCACATATAAAGTAGAGGAAGATGGGCACAGATGTTAGCTCAGGGCCAGTCTTCCTCAGGAAAAAGACGAGGATTAGCAGTAGTTAGCTCAGGGCTAATCTTCCTCAAAAAAAATAAATTAATTAAACATAAAAAAAATAAAATGCTGGTTGTTTTACACTGCTAAGTTTTGGGGTGGTTTGCCACACAGCAAAAGTGAACCGAGGGGTCGGCCGGGTGGCCAAGTGGTTGAGTTTGCGTACTCCGCTTCGGCAGCCCAGGGTTTCACCAGTTCAGACCCTGGGCGCAGACATGGCACCGCTCATCAGGCCACGCTGAGCCAGCATCCCACATGCCACAACCAGAGGCACTCACAACTAGAATCTACAACTGTGTACTGGGGGGCTTTGGGAAGAAGAAGAAAAAAAAGAAGAAGATTGGCAACAGATGTTAGCTCAGGTGCCCATCTTTAAAAAAAAACAAAAAAGTGAACTGATACACTCAACTTTGTGCTCCATTTCTTGACCTCTGGCTTTACTTGCAAACTGGAAGTTTACAGACTTGATCATAAGCAGAAATGTAATGTGACGCACAGAAGAAAGTGATTTCAGGGGTTCCTTTAGGAACTTAGCATAGTGCTTCCCAAAGTTCTCAACATTTTCAGGAACAACCTCTAGGAATCTGACCCATAGAAACACCCACAGAAGGGCACTGGGCTTGTGTATGTGGATGGTGCCTGTGGCACCATTTATAATGATATAAATGTGGAAAACACCTAAATATCAATCATTTGGGAAAGGGATAATATATTGTGGTTTAAAATAAAACATCAGAAAGAGCAAACAGATAACCATTTTTCAAACAAGCTATTCTACCAACCACCTTGCAGCTTTCATTTGCCACGGCAGGAATCTCAGGGATCCGAGGTTTAATCTGTAGTCACTACTCACTGCACTGGAAACGGCCGTCCCCGCGTGACACTCTCCCCAGAGTCACAGCGTGTGCAGCACGTGGCTGGTTCAGGCAGTCAGGGGCAAGGGTGGGATATTTCTAATTAATCCTTTACAAAAAATGCTCATAGGTATTTAAAAAATTCAACTTTTTTTCTGGGCACTATAGCTTCTTAAAAATGTATTGCTTGAGTATTTCTCACGATAGTCAGAAAGAGGAAAAGGGGCCGGCCCCGTGCCCGAGTGGTTAAGCTCATGCGCTCTGCTTTGGCGGCCCAGGGTTTCACCAGTTTGGATCCCGGGCCAGACATGGCGTTGCTCATCAGGCCATGCTGAGGCGGTGTCCCACACAGCACAACCAGAATATACAACTGTGTACTGGGGGGCTTTGGGGAGAAGGAGGAGGAAAAAAAAAAAGAAGATTGGCAACAGATGTTAGCTCAGGTGCCAATCTTTAAAAAAAAAAAAAGAGTGGAAACAACCCAAACGTCTATCAACTAAGGAATGGATAAACAAACTGTGGTTAATTCACACAGTGGAATATTATTTGGCCATAAAAAGGAATGAAGTACTGATACACGTTGCAGCATGGATGAACCTTGAAAACATCATGCTGACTAAAAGAAGGCAGACACAAAAGGCCACAGAGTCTGATTCCATTGACATGAAATGTCCAGAATAGGTAAATCCATAGAGGCAGAAAGTAGATTAGGTGCCAGGAGCTGAGGAGGGGTAATGAGGAGTGAGTGCCAATGGGTAGAGGATTTCTCTGCAGGGTGATGATAATGTTCTAAAATTTATTCTGCTAATGGTTGCACAACTTCGAATACACTAAAACCACTGAAGTGTACAATTTAAATTGGTGAATTGTATAGTATCTGAATATCTCAATAAAGCTGTTTGGGGGGAAAAAAACCCAAATAAATACATAAATGTATCAGTCAACATTCCATGATGGGGAATGGAGATCGGCCCTCATTATAATGTAAACATGTATATTTAAATCCTGGTGAAAATCTTAATCTCATCATTTTGCTAATTAAAGAGAAGAACAGTTTTTACTTATTGAAGACCTATTAAGTCTCTAAAATCCCTGAATTCCCAATTTATTTGAATCTGCCCTGGCACCTCATAGAAGAGAATTAAAACCAACCAGTAACAACCCAAAGAGGCCCAGGCTGACCCTCGGTGGTGCTCTGGCTAATGACAAAGAGCCTTGAAAACATGGGCTGTTTTGGACAGACATGCACAAGTTGAAATGCCTATCTGGGTCCCCCCCAAAGAGCCTGTGTATGTGTGTCTGGGCTAGAGAGCTAGGGAAAACGTCCTTCTAAGAGTTTAAGATGTAACCTGCTGGGCTGTGGGGAGGCTCGCTGGTGAGGCAGCCCAGGCAGACACATCCGCATCTCCCACGGCTGCCTCCCTCCGTCTTAACTGTCTTGTCTCACATCTGGACTGCAGGCTGCTTGAGGGGGCACCATGTCCAGTTCCATTTTGTGAGGAAGAGAGTTGCCGAGCTAACATCTGTGCCCATCTTCCTCTATTTTATGTGGGACGCCTCCACAGCATGGCTTGACAAGCGGTGCTAGGTCCGCACCCAGGATCTGAACCAGCGAATCCCAGGCCGCTGAAGCAGAGCACATGAACTTAACCACTACGCCACTGGGGTGGCCCTGTGTTACACCTTCATCAACACTCCTTGTTATCAACAAGTTTTTGCTTTTCCTGTGGAGCAAAGCAAAATGATGAACTCAAAAGCAGCTGCAGAGGCTGGCCCCGTGGCTGAGTGGTTAAGTTCGCACGCTCCACTTCAGCAGCCCAGTTTTGCCAGTTTGGATCCTGGGCACAGACCTAGCCCCACTCACCAGGCCATGCTGAGGCAGCGTCCCACACAGCACAACCAGAAGGACCTATAACTAGAATATACAACTATGTACTGGGGGGCTTTCAGGAGAAGAAGAAGGACAAAGAAAAAAGAAAAGAAGATTGGCAACAGGTGTTAGCTCAGGTGCCAATCTTTAAAAAAAAAGCAGTTGCACTGGAAAGACTGCCCTTACCCCGTAATGAATCCAGACATAGACAACATTTCCAGTTAAAGACACCCTCTAGCAACTCAAGCCAGAGATGGGACAGCTGGAATGAAAGCCTTCTCAGGCCCAAAGGTTTAGCAGTTGCCCGATGCCCAGAGTAGAGAGATTCAACGTCTAATCAGAGGGTTGGAGCCCGAGCGAACCGTGGAAGGGGCTGGGCCTCACCTCGGGAATCAGCCGCCGCCTCTTCACGCTGGGGACGGAGTCGGGCTGGCCATCGCTGCCCGGCTGCTTGCGCTTGCTGGAGTCCTGGAGGGCAGTGAAGACGCTGTCCAGAGGGTGCTTCTCGGCAGACCTGGAGTTCACTGAGCAGTCCAGGGCAGCATCTTCGGCCTCTGTCTCCACTTTCACAGTGTTATTTTTTAGAACTGTGGCAGAGAAGAAATAGGGCTCAGTGGGAAAGATCACCGGGCCGCTCAGAGATTAGCAGGGTTCTGCAGGCGCCGGGTGTTCCCAGGCCGCCCCCCGCCACTACCACTCAGATAATAATGTCCAGTCACAACAAAACTGCACTTTCCAACCAAGTAATTTCATCTTACCACATGAGCGCTATACAATAAAACCATGTTCCAAGAACATTTTTTTCAAAACTGGTCTTAAAGTCTTTTAGGTGGGAAGGGCGAGGAGATGGAAGGAGAGAAACAAATACTATCTTTTAAATGAGACTTTTTAAAAAGCAACTCTGGAAAGATACATAAGATACTCATAACGGGGGTATGGGTGGGGGGGATGGGAATGGGGTGGGAGGAGACTTCATTGATTTTCATTAGGTATCTTGTTATGTCTTTGAACCATGTGAATGTATGACCTAAAAAAATATCAAGTTAAAAATAATTTTTTAAAAGAGGCATTTTTTTTACCTTCTTCTACATCTTCACTGAATTCAGTTGCGTTCATCTTCTATTTCACTAAAGGAAAAGACAAAGACAAAGTCGCGATTTACTGCTTGTTTGACTGAACTTGCCGTGCCCAGGAGAATGTCCCCAACCCTCCCAACCCAGGCTCCGGGCGGCGGCAGGTTCAGCGGACGCTGCTCTGCCACATCCTGGAAAACTGCAGCCTCTTATTCTTGTTTGCAGTTGCTCCGAAGCAGCCAGGCCTTCTGAGTGCCTGCGGGGAGCACTTCTCCAAGACTGTGTGCGCGCAGAACGCATCCTAACACACGGGTTGAGAGCCACTGACAGCGCGAGGGGATAGTTACTCGAGAAAGTCAAGTCTTACAAAAGACCCCAGTTCGGATGATCTTCTGTGAGGTCCCTGCTTCATAAATTCCAGCCACAAAAGGAAAAGGCTGACTAAGGATGGAGGCTGTGCATCCCATGGACCCGAGCAGAGGTCTTAGGACCACAGGTGGTCCAAAAAGACCTGTGCTGTCCATGTGGCAGCCACTAGTCACACGTGGCTACCGAGGACTCCAAAATGTGGCTAGTCCAGATGGAGATGTGCTGTGAGTATAAAATACACACTGGATTTCACAGACTTAGCATGGCAAAAAAGAGTGTGAAATAGCTCATTAAAATTTTTTATATTGATTACATGTTGAAATGATAATATTTAGGATTTACTGGGCTAAGTAAAATACTTTATCAAAATTAATTTCACTTTTTTTAATGTGGCTACTAGAAAATTTGAAATTACCTATGTGGCTTGCATTACATTTTTAATTGGATGGTGCTGGTCTAGCCCTGCCTTCAGAAGCAACAAGAAGAAAGAGGCACTGTGAGTTTTTAAAGCTCTCAAGCTCCACACAATCTGGTCCAAACCCTTCTTTTTATTGACGAGGGAATGGGGCTGACGAGAGGGGGCTGTAGGGTCTGGTGCAGAGCTAGCCTGACTCCCACTGCGCCAGCCGGAATGGAACAGACACCATGATTAAAAGCACCGTTGCAAGTCTTTGAGATTCTCCAAGTTACCTAAGTGTGCCCATAAATATATAAGGTATAAATGAGACACAAGCAGCCCTGGGGGTCTAGTGGTTAAGAGCTGGCATTCTCACTGCCGCCGTCCAGGTTCATTCCTAGGCCAGGGAACCACAACACCTGTCTGTCGTTGTCATACTGTGGCATCTGAGCGTTACTGTGATGCTGAAAGCTATGCCACTGGGATTTCAAACACCAGCAGGGTCCCCCATGGTGGACAGGTTTCAGTAGAGCTTCCAGACTAAGACAGACCAGGAAGAAGGAACCGGCCGCCCACTTCTGACAAACTGGCCATAAAAACCCCATGAATAGCAGCAGAGCCTTGTCTGATACAGTGCTGGAAGGTGAGAGGATGGCACAAAAAGACCGGGCAGAGTTCCACTCTGCTGTGCACAGGGTCGCGGGGAGTCAGAATCCGCTCGATGGCACCAACAGCAACAACGGCACTAACAACAAGAAATGAGGTAGTAACACTGGAAAAGAATACACATGGCAGCCAGTACTGTTGCCATTGAGGGGCTGTGGGTCCCATAACGAATTAAGCTGCCTGCAAATACTGAGGTGCTATTCTGGCCGAGGATCGGGAGAGCAGGACGAAGGAGCATCTCTATAAGGAAGAGCGATGCTATCTACACAGGTCAGTAAACCTTTTACCGAGCAGCTGTGAAGAGTGTGTGGGCCCTTGTTTTAGATGGACGAATGGAGTGAGGGGGCAAGGGAGGGAGTGTGTCAAGGTGATCCATGCACACGACAACTTCAAAATTCACTAACAGTAGCCACACTCATAGAGTGCTTATGACGTGGTGCACTATTCTCAGTGCGTCACAGTAACCTTATGACAGGCACAATTCTCTTCCTCCCTCTATTACTAATTTCCAGAAGAATGAATAAGAAAATTTAAGATTTATTTGAAACTGAATTTCTACTTACCAAACTATCTCTTACCTGAAAAACTGAACACACAAGGTGCTACTGAGGGAAAACAGACAATCAGGCAACTTCCAGGGTCCAAGAACTACTTTACCAGAGGTGAGTGCTGGCAAATACAATCGCCACTGCATTCCAAGGAAATAAACCTCGAGTGTGATAACGTCACATGACCTGGGCGTCTGGGGGGGACAGGCAGGGATAACTCCTTTCTTTTTGGACAGGAAGGTTAGCCGACGGCAGGCAGGAATTCAGGCTGCCTGGGTTGCAGCCCAGTCGGGGGGCCTCTCACGGAAACACTTCAGGCTTCACCCTGACACCCTGAGCTTGCCAAGTGCCCTTGGAAAGCCTGCCATGCGGTCACATACCCTACTCCCTCGAATCAAGGGCAGCGGCGGGGAAGCAGGAGAGACAGGAGGAATGGGGAAAGGGCTGGCGGAGAGGGGACAGTGCAGAAAACAACTACATTCGGGAGAGGAAAGGTGAGACACAGAGGAGATGGAAGATGGCTTATTTGGGGGAAAAAAGGGAAACCCACGACGACTCTGGCTAAATGGAAACTATTAAAAGGAGGAGCGACTCCCAGAAGAAAAGAAAACAGGGCTCGATGAGAAAACACAGGAGACAGGACCACAAGTGCTGCCCAGCACCGGATGCTATCTGATGCGACACCTGCCAGTCCTTTTCTCTGGAGCAGCGCTGAGCCCAGAAGGCAGGCGCGGGCCACCAGCGCGGGGCCTGGGGCAAGTGTCAGGGTCGCCTCTGTGGGGAGGGCCTTGAGGGGCAGGAAGGGGATTTTCTGAACAACCACCATGTGACACGACAGCAGGCAATTTAGCACCTGAGTTCTGAGCTCCTGGTGATCCTCTCATCAGAAAACGATGGTGGAAGAGCACACACCTGAGCCGCCTCGGGTGTGGGAGAAGGCGGGGTGTGGAGGGGAGGCAGGGAAGGGTCACGGGGGTGAGGTGGGAGGAAGGGGCTGCTGGCTTCCTGGGCATTCTAGATGGCCCGTGTGCATCTGCTTTAGAAAACATTTCCGTGTTCATTTATAGACGAGTGACAGATGCTAGATTAGCACTGCAGTATGGCGGCCCCTTCCCTCCCAGCCAGCAAGGAAGTCACACTCATCGGGAAGCTGGGGAAGGTCCCATGTGCAAGGCCTGGAAGCCCAACACTGCAGCTGGCTCCTGCTGTGGGGAGGGCGGAGGGTCCTCAGGGACATCTGCAGCCCACGCACCGCACCAGGCCCCTCGTGTGCGCCCCCCTCATCCTGAGCGACTTGAATCCCAATCTCACCAGGAAAGAAAGTGAGGGCATACACCGTAAATATACACAAGTTTTATTTGTTCATTATACCTCAATGAAGCTGGAAAAATTATTTTGATATCATTTTGATTATGGAAATAAAATATTCAACTATTAGAAGGGCAAAAAGGAGGGCAAGTAACCTGCCCAGTGTCACACGGCTGTTAGTTAAGTGACAGAACTGGGATTCAAACCAAGTCTGTGTGTATCTCCCGTCAGCCACTGGGAGAGGACATAACAGGATCCTCATTCTTCTGTTAAGGTTCTTCTGATGACACGGGGACAGGTCCCAGCCTTGGATTTCTGTCCAGCAGCAGCAGCAGCAGCAGCATCCAAATCCCCCTTTGTCTCCCCGTAGCTACCCAGAATCCCCTCTCCTCCGTGCTTATAGACTCCATCCCACGGTACAGAAAAGTTTCTATGAGAGGGATGTGTGGGTCACTCCCCGGCATCTGAGGTGACGTGGTGACGGTACACCAACAGCGTCATGACTGGGTGGAAAGGGGATGGGCATCACGTGGCTCCCTCCATTTCCTGGTCACCTGTCCAGACGAGGTCACTGGCTTGCTCACCCTGGGTGGACATGGAGCATGCCACAGAAATTCCTTTCCTTTACATAATAACCTCAGGAGCTAGCAACCACCGCAGCTCCCGCCCACCCAAGCTGCTGGGATTACAATCTCCTGTGCCTGCTGGACTTGGTAGAATTTCTTATTTTAACATTCTCTCCTTTTCAAAACCCTCTTATTCCTCTCACCACGAATCTCAAACCGTGAGACAGTCTATACATCCACATGTCCTTGAAAATCAGCCTTCTTCCCAAGGGGTGGCGGTTCCCTGTTCTCAGAAACACCTGACCAAGGCGAAGGAAGACTCAAACGAATGAAGGGGACGTGAGTCAGAGACCCGCGTAGCCGGCTGCCCCCCGAGTTAACACACCACAGGTTCTAAGACATTGGGGACTTATCGGAGGGTAACTCTCAAATAGGACAAATCTCCAGTGGTCAATCTAATAAGTGGAAATGCTTGTTACATATAATTTTTTTAAACCAAATAGTCTAGGAAGCCACAGGCAAAGTGACCTGTCATTGGTACGGAAAGGTTTTAAATGTTGCAGAGCTTGTAGGAGTGGATATAATTTCATTAAAATGCCTACTGGTGTCTATCCTTCTACAGAGTGAGATGGACAATGTTCAATTTTCCATGCAGGGCACACGGGTAGGGAAGACAGAACGTCATCAGAAAAGCCTTCAGTTTACAAAAAGCACAAAAGGGAGGGTAATCTTGTTCAGAAATAGGAAGATACTTTAGCCACTCAAATATCAAATTACAAAGGATGAGTTGCTTAAATTGACTACATAAATGCAGTAACTGGCGGGGCTACCTCGGAGGAGCCGGCTGAGCCTGACTCCCCACCAGCAGCATGCACCTGGCTCGGGGGAGGAAGAAAGCCTGTGAAGAAGGACAAGGGGGAAGGGAGGCAGAACCATTCGCGGATGCAGAGAAAGAACGAACTCTAAGAGATACCACAAAGAAATGGAAAAGCAGGAAAGATTTACAATTACAGGTCAATTTACATGTTCAGAGTTCATCTGAAGATGGGAAGATGTCTAAAATCTTTTTTTGGACTAGATCATACATGTACATGAAACAAAATTCAAAAGATATAAAAGGATATTTGGTTAAAAGGCCCACTGTCCCCCAGCACCAGGTTACTCTCCGGGAGCCTAGCATGTGGCTTTTCCTGTGTGTCCTTCCAGAAACATCCTGTGTCAGGTTCTCGAGTGTGATTCATCGACTGCAGTGGGCTGACTTACATCGGCTTGCACGGATTGTGTCTCCCCAACTCCACCACTAGTGGAGTCAAGTCATACCTTGAAATTGGCCACGGTGGGAGTATTTATACCAGAGAAACTGACACTTTTCCAAAGAGGGGGTTTTCTTTTCTTTTGGAAGAGTCAGTACATCCAAGACCCTTCCAGGGGGTCCATGAGATCAAAACCATTTTCCTAGTGACACTGAGATGTTATCGCCTCTTTTCTCTCACAAGTGTGCAGGAGAGTTTTCCAAAGGCAACATGATATATTGTTTGCAAAAGATTGAGTACAGAGGCAGATATGAAAACCCAGCTGTCTTCTATTAAGTCAGACCTTAAAGAGATTTGCAAAATGTAAACAATACCGCTCTTTCCACTAAGAATTTTTTTTTGGAAAAGGTATTTTTTCATAAAAAATGTTATTGACATTAACTTGTAATGGATTTATTACAGTTATTTTTAAATGAAGCAAATATTTAACTTATTTTTAGTTAATAAAAAATAATTTAGAGCCAGCCCCAGTAGCCTAGTGGTTAAGTTCAGTGTGTTCCGCTTCAGCAGCCCGGGTTCAGTCCCTGGGCATGGACCTGCACCATGGGTTAGCAGCCATGCTGTGCTGGCAGCTCACACACTAAAACTGAGAGGAAGACTGGCACGGATGGTAGCTCAGGGAGAATCTTCCTCACCAAAAAACCAAACATTTCTGTTTTAATTTCTAACACGGTAAATATAGACAGGTATAACCCACATAAACAAAAGCTCTCTGGGGTCCTCAATAATTTTTAAGAGTATAAACAGATCCTGAGACTAAAAGGTTTAAGATCCTTGTTCCTTGCTTTTTTCACTTAAGCTATCATGGAAATGTCTGTATCACTTCTTCCTTCAGTTTGAGTTCTCCCAGAAGCAGATTTTGAGACAAGGATTGGGAGTGACCAGTACCTGTGGGAGGAGACAGACAAAGGCTGATGATCAGCACGGGGCATAGTAACGGGCTTCCGGCAAGGAGAGCGTGCCCTGGCCGCAGGCAGTGCTGAGGGTGCTGATGGAGCTGTCCCAGGGGCGGGTGGCAGCAGGGGGCAGAGCCAACCCCTCCGGTGACTCCTGAAGGCAGAAACCCTGTGTGCCATTCCCACCCACCTCCTCACCACGCTGCCCTGAACTCTGCACACTCAGTGGACACACCATGGAAACCACAGCCCACCCACATGGAAGGCGCTGTGCCTACAGCTGTAAATTTCACCTGGCAATCCTAGGAGGTGGGAACTCTTGTTAGTCTCCTTCTACCAGTGAGGAAAATGAGGCACCGTTTTAGAGCCAGAAGGGAGCTCAGAGATCATCTTGTTTCATAAGTGTGGGACTCAAGGATCAGAAAGGTCTGGAACATGTTCAAGATCAAACCATCAGGAATGGGCCCCAGTCTCCCTGCCCTGTGCTTTGGTGGCTACACGCCCGGCTGTGTGACAGGAGCTATTGGTGCCGGTGGCGGGACTGTCCTCTGTGCAAGGGATTGAGAGCTTATTCACAGGGACTGCAACCAACACAGGGGCAGAGATGGGAGGACCAGGAGGGTAAGATGGAACCTGGAAACTCCGTCGGAGGGGAGGACGGGTAAACACCAAAGATAAAAGTACCAGGAAGAAAAGAGCAGTCCGAACCCCAAGGTCAGAAGAAACTACACTAGAGTTTCTATGACAACCATAACTCACATGGAGTAAACACAGGCTGCAGGCACAGCTGTGCGGGCGACCACCCATGCTTACAGTTCTGTGATCCGGACACAAATAGTTTTAAACTCTAACATATACTTCCAAGACTTTTTTCCTTTGGAGGGAGAAATAATGTCAATCAAAGCAAATTGTAGGGGGAAAAAAATCTACTTAGGGAATAACTTGGTCAATGTTTAAACGGGCCTATCTTGATCTTCCTCATCACTTTCAGCTTCTAAAGACCTATAACCAAATCCTTCTGTTAGTTACAGAGCCTCCCGCACTTGACAATTACGATTCGCAGTCACGGCACTGAGCAAAGGCCAGGAGGCCCAAGCACCTGGGCCAGGAGGTCTGTCACTTCCCAGTCGATCCTGGGTTAAGCCCAGCAGGAAGTCTAGGGTCAGACTGAGCATGGAAATCCTACCATTAACTGTTATTAATTACTGATACATTTCCACCAAAAAATGCAGAGAAAATGGGAGCAACAACAAAAGTGAACGTGACTTGGATTGAGATCACCTTTGACTATTGTTATTGCCATTACACAAAGTTAGGAAGTCAACATCTACACATTTTCTGAACATACAACTCCAAAACCTCTATTGACAGAAAGACCTGAGCATTAAATTAGGTGTAAAGATCCAAAATCAATTGTTCATTACAGAGTTATCCAGTCAATAACAACATACTTCAAAGTTCACTGGGGATATCTAAACTACGTAATTAAAAAATGCCATAGAGCAGCTGGAAGGAAATATGCCAAAATGTTAATTACCTCCAATTAAGAGGATTATGGATTATTTTTTTATTTATTCCCCAACTTTCCAAATATTCTACACTGGGTATGCAATTCTTTGATAATGAAAAAAAAATTTTTTTTCTTAAGATTGGCAGCTGAGCTAACCACTGTTGCTAATCTTCTTTTTTATTTTTTCTTCCTACTTTTTTTCTCCCCAAATTCCCCCAGTACACAATTGTATATTTTAGTTGTGGGTCCTTCTAGGTGTGGCATGTGGGATGCCCCCTCAACGTGGCCTGATGACTGGTCCACGCCCAGGCTCTGAACCAGCGAAACCCTGGGCCGCTGGAGCGGAGTGCGTGAACTCAACCACCCAGCCACGGGGCCGGCCCCCCCAAATTTTTAAAAATGAAAAAATAAGTATAGCAATCTTTACTGACCAGCCAGGTCATATTCTAAGTTAGGTCCACACACAGCAATAAGCTAAGAATGGAAAATCAAATCACTTAACTTTTAAACACTTAAAATACCGATGCTCTAAGAAACAATATAATAGCTGATACATTAGTGAAGACTTTCATTTCATAACTGTCCCTGAATTATCGCGTCTGAAGGTGTAGAAAGCTCCTCAGCATGGGGAGAAGGGAGACCAGAAAAAAGTGTCACCTGACAAACCCATGTGTGAGTGAGAAGGTGAAAAGATCAGCTTTGGACACTAAGGAAATGTCTTTCCTGGTGGGGGCGTTACAGGCCCTATCGATGCATTTGCCTGATACTTCAATTATTTTCTGAAATAAGCCAAATTTCATGGAAGGAAAAAAAAAATCACAATTCAGAGTATTTCCTGGATCAGGGATCCAAACTGACCCCCGAGGCCAGGTCACCGGGGAGGTTGGGGTTTGCGGCTGGCTGGGAAACTTATGGACTGGAGAGAAGCTGAGCAATCCACCAGGGCCAAGATGCCCAACCTGCGGGCTTCTGCATTCTGGATGACGATGACTGTGAAATGGGGTCCTTTCTTCAGGTTCTCTTCTGTCTGAACACCCTGGGAGATGTTCCGACCAGCACCTGGAGCCCTCCTTCCCGGACTGCTCAAAACGGGACCAAACTGGGTACTCAAAGACCTGCTCCAGGGGGCCCTGGCCCAGGACAAGGCAGCAGGAGGCAGTGGGCAGAGAGGCGAGATGTGAAGGTCTGGGGAGCGAAGGCCGGGCCAGGCCACAGATAAAGGGAGGAGGTGAGGTCACTGGTTACAAGGAGTCATGCAAGAATCTGCCTGGGGGAAATCCTCCTCTGCAGGAGTTGGGATGCAAGCTGACACAGCACCCCGAGCAGGGGGCACTTGGCGGGGCGACTCCTTGGTAAAGCCCTTTGCCCTCACAGGATCGCTGGTTTCTTTCCTAAATGTCCCACAGGCTTCCAAGGGAAAGCGTTCTCTGACGCTGCCCAGTGGGGGCTGGGAGTGACCCGGTGCCTCTCTACCGAGTTCTTTCAAGAGACCCAGCCGCTCCGAGAGCAGTGGTCCAGGCTCCCAGGCTCTGGAGAGAGCTGCGTGAGGCCCCTTGGCGGCACAGAGGCTTGCGGCTGGCCGGAGTCACACAGGCCCAGATATGGGAAGTACTTGGGCTTCCTGAAACCTCGAGGTTCAAAACCCAGCCAGCTGACTCAGGATTCTGCCCCACTAAACTGGAAAGGTCCACTGAACTCCGGACTCAGCCCCGGGCTGAGGGGCAGGGCGGGGAAGACGTGGCCCCGCAGCCCTGACCTCGGGCTGCTCAGGTGCAAACCCTCCCCATCTTCCAAGTCCTGTCTCCAGATGTCAAGTGAGGCAAACCCTCGACTCCGGGAAGGTCTCCCGGAGAATTCGAGCCCCGGAACAAGAATGTGAGTGGAACCCGAGACCAGGGGGATGGTGGTCGTGCAGCACCGCCACATCCGAAAGGTGAAGCAAAGAGAATGTGCTCCGACCACTGTGAAGGTGTTATTAACAAACACACTCAAGGATTCAAAAAGTTTAGCTAAGATCTAACTAAACCTTACTTCACCCTTTTCACAACTGTCACACCACACGACGTGACTTTGATCTCTCTGTGCTGCTGGTCATACTGATTTTTAAAAATGAAACAGAGAAGCAGGGCAGTGGCTAACATTCACGCCGCGCCGGCTCCGTGGTCTGAGCGCTGTGCGTGTTCCCCCCGCAGGCTCACGAGAGCACTCTGATTGTGCAGGTAGAGAAAGGGGCGGGGGGTGCAGTCTGGACCTCACTTGGTGGGGCGTGCGGGACGACAACACGGGACGGGACAGGACGGCGGACTGCAGACAGCAGGGAGAGGGAGAGGAGTGGGGTGGACCAGGGGGTGACGGCCTCGTGTCCGCCTTCCGAGAGGAGCTGGGATGGAGGAACGGGGCACAACCGTCCCCAGCTGTGCCTTCTCCCTTTCTGCGGAGCACCATTTGTAGGCTGGGCTGGGCGGGCAAGTCAACAGCCGGATGGGCCCTCCGGCCACCAAGGTAGGGACAAGTGCAGTTGATCTCAAAGACAATGGAATTCCCTGCTAAACTTCAGGGTCACCTGGACCGGCATGGAGTCCCTGGCTCCACATGCATTAGCTTCTCACACTGGGCAACATGCGTGCCCACCCAAGCCGTGGTTCTTCTGTAAAATGGGGCCCGACACACTACCTCCTCTCAGGAGAGCTTGTGAAAACTACAAAGGAGCAAGTGCCTGGCTCACAGCCCTCAGGAAATGTTACCCATTATAAAGCCCTTTTTAAAAAAAGATTTTTAAAGTGCATGTTAATAGTGAATATTTTAAAGAACTACAAAATTAAATTAAATGGCTTAAAACTTTTACAAAGTTTAGTAACTTTTAAATGGTAGAAACAACTGGAAGCGGGTGAGATCAAATAAAATGCTCTCCCTAAGGATGACGGGAAGAATGTTCCCATGCCATCCGCCCTGCGGGGCTCGGCTGGGAGCCGCAGGCCCCCGGAGCCCGGCCCTCTTGGCAGTGGTACCCTGCCCATGGGACTCGCGGGACATGTTTGCAATTTGTTTTTATT